AACAACGGTGTTTAAACAACGATCTTGCCATGATACTAGATTGTGAAGATGAAAGTCAGGAGGATACATGCGACACTTGCAGACCGATGCAATTCCCAAAAAAGAATTATTGCTCCACAATAATAAAAAAAATATATATATAACTGAAAGACTGGTGCAGCGTCAATCGAAAAGAATTTACAATTTTGTCAAGTTTCAAATTTTTCAAGTTTTTCGCAGCGTGCGAGTAGTTATTTAGTGGCGCAGGTTTGATTTACGACCCTTTAAAAACTTTTTATTGAATACAATGTGAATACAATGTTCCAATTTTTAAATTCAAATACCAACAAATATGATTAAAACTTACTAACCTTTCCATTTTTTATTTAACTAAATCACCTAATTTACTCACCTAAGTTATCTCTTAACAAGTAAAGAGGTCTAAGATCGGGCGGAGCCGAACATTAAATACCCGGCGCAAGTATTCAATATAGTTGTTTCACCTTTACGAAAACTACCGCTACATGGTAAACAGTGGTGGTTTTACGTCTATTTCAAACATCTTTGATAGAACGTTCAGTTAGACATAGTCAGATAAACTTATATAGTTATATGTGGGCAGCATCACGCCCATTTTCCAAAATTCCATAATAATGTTACTTCTTTTCAAGGGATTATTGTTAGTATCAATTTTGGGTAAAATTATCGTTATAAAAAGGTGGTCGTAATTTTAGTCAGATTTCAATGACTTTCAACGTTTTGCCTTTATGGGGCAACCACAATAATTGATCGAACGGTTACCGAGATACACATATGTTTTCTTCAGTGGGCGGGGTCACGCCCATTTTCCAACATTTTATTATAAGCGTACTTTTTGCTAAAGAATTATTGCAAACACCAATTTTGAATAAATTAGCTTCAGTATTTACTGATTTATAGAAGCTTTCGTCTTTCTCTAAATTACCGTTATGTGGTATGTAGGCGTGGTTATTATCTGATTTTTTAAATTTTCAGCCGTTCGGTATGTTTTGTGAAGGCCAACAACTGTGCCAAGCTTGGGAGAAATTGGTGGAGCGGTTGCCAAGATATACACATGTAATCATAAGTGGGCGTGCCTACGCGCATTTTCCAAAAATGTATAATATTCTTATTTTTTGTTTAAAAATTATTGTACATATCAATTTGAGTGCGTAAGCTTCAGTAGTTACTAAAATATCGCAGTTTTCGTATTTCTGAAAACTAACGTTATATGGGAGGTAGGCGTAGTTACCGTCCGATTTTGCCCATCCACCATCCATCCTACGCCCAAAAGAAGTACACATACCAAGTTTCGTTTAGATATCACAATTTGTACTCGAGTTATCGTGTGCACATACGGTTACTCTTTTCATTCTAATCATTTATGTATACATTTGTCTATATCTATCTCGATTCGTTTTGCCTGTTACAAAAAGCCGTTATGTGAACAAAGTTATAATACCCTTGCATACAAGTGCGCTCGCGTATAAAAATACTTGGCATCCGCCTTCCCATCCGCTTTCGCGGATGTTAGCGTTTAAACATCGGCATCCGCATTCGCATCGGCGGATGTCTAACATTCCACATTCGCAACATCCCTGCTCTGAACTACTCAAAATTGTTCAGTTTTTTTTAACTCAATCTCATCTCATAATGCGAATTGTGAAAGGGTTTTTTCACTTATGTCTTCGCAACGGACGAAAGAGAGAAATCGATTATCTGTTGAAAATATGCGCCATATCGTCACAGTCAAGTTCAACTTTTCGGATTTAAGTTGTTCTCTTTTGAAAAAATACGTGATTCAGAAAAATACAATTTTAAGAATAATAAGCGCAAAGAAGTAAATGCTTAAATTATCATTCACAAATGTAAAATACAGTAAAAAATTTAAAATAATTATAATTCTAATTTCTTCCTTAATTGCATTTCTCTATTTTCATTACTCCTATGAATGTTTCTGCACATATTTTTTAATCTTTTTTCATGAGGTAATTCGTTGGAAATTTAAGTTAAGATCTAAATTTTAACGACATTTGGCAGGGGGAGTGGGGGGAGGGTTGTAGAAAACTTGCGTCCTGGATTTTCGTTAAGACAAATTGGTAACCCTACTTTTTATGAAAACTCATATTTTGATATAGGAAGTAGAGCTTATTAAAAATACTATATCGTTTCGATAAAGATTAAGCTAGTTTTTTTCTCGTTTATATTCAATGAAAGCCAAATTTACTAAGTCCAAAAGAGACACCGAATATCTGCAAAAAAAAAGCCAAATACTACGAAGTTTTTTATTCCTTTACATCTAAAATTTCATAATAATATCAAATTAAACTTTTTTTTTGCAATCTCATCCGAAGTTATTCCCCTTTCCTTTACACTTCGCCTCATTAAAAATTTTAATATAAAAATGGAATACATTTATGGCGGGTGCCATCAATAGCTTAAGTAAAGAAAAACTACACTACACGGTTTGTGTTCTAAAAAAAACGTCCGTTCTATTTGAATACTCTTAGCTAATGCCATTATACATCTCTATATACATATTTACAAGGAGCTGCTAACCTGCAGCGGTGATAATTTTCACACATCACTTTTTACACTTCTCTATGAAAAGATTTTGTGTTGAACTTTTAGTATTCTGGGGTGTTCACACTTTAGCGTAAAGGTGTGTTCACACTAGTCCCACAGTACTCCCCGTTCAGTGAGAACAATGGAACGAATATAAAATTCAATATGTATAAATGAAGTTATACAATGGTAATGCAACTTGCCTGAGCAAGTGTGGATCATGAATGAAATATTACAAACATATACTTAGAAGTAAACTTTGATGAGAACTTAAAATCTAAGACAGTTAAAATGAATGAGTATTATCTACTTGCTATGCAAATCTGAATTTTAGTTACATTAATTAATTAATGAAAATTGTGATGTTTATTTTTACATGAGATTACTAAAGAAATTGCGAACTGATTGAGCAGTAACATTACAAATTTAAACGATCCGGAAATCTGACTTGTGACGAGTCTGCCTCTGTTGTTGTAAATGCTTTCGTTGTTGAAGATATTTCTGGCACCTCTTTCGGGCCGAAAGGTTCCTCAGAAGTTTTAGAACTGGAAATTAGTATCGGAAGAGATGACTCTTCTAATGATTCGAAGGATTTATCAATTATGGTGTATGCAGCTTTCAAGCGATCAATTGATATTGTTTTTTTACTGCCGTTGATGATGAGGTCAAAACACTTATCATTTCTGTTGACGATTTCGTAGGGACCATTATAAGGTGGTGTCAACGACAGTCGAACAGAGTCATTTCTGACAAACGCGTGAGTACCTGCTTTTAATTCCGAATCGATGAACATTTTTTCTTTTGAATGGTTTGATGCTGGTGTAGGACGCAGTTGGGACATGTGCTCTCTCAAACTCTTGACAAAATCTGACTGGATGACTTGTTTCTCAGACTCAACGAAGAATTGGCCTGGTAGCGTGAGTGCAGTGCCTTTTCTGCCGGCGTGCATCGAAGATCCTCTTTGTATGTGGATCGAAGAGCAAGAAGAATAGTAGGTAAAACGTGGTACCAATCCTTTGTCTTACGGCACATAATGGCAACCTTCAAAGTGCGGTGCCATCTTTCAATCATCCCAATCGCTTGAGGATGGTATGCTGTTGTACGAATATTTTGTATGCCAAGCAATTTTGAGAACTCTCTGTATAGCGTCGACTCGAATTTCCTGCCTTGATCCGTTGAAATACGCAGTGGTACGCCGAAACGTGAAACCCAAAAAGATATTAGTTTTTCTGCGACATGTTCAGCAGTGATGTCAATTAAGGGTATTGCCTCTGGCCACCTAGTGTAACGATCAATTATGGTGAGTACATAACAAACGCCTCCCGAAGGTGTTAGTGGACCAACGATATCAACGTTTATGTGTTCGAAGCGGTGAAGTGAGGCATTCGCAAGATCTGCCTTGCAGCGATCAAATTCGGCAGTAGAATCAGTATTCCAATCAACTACCGTCAAGTCATTTTTCTTGTTGCCGGGAACAAGTGCTTGTAGAATCATTTGATTATCTACAGCGTGAGGAACGAAACGCCCCATAAAAGTTGATTGCAGCCAAAAATCGTTTTAGCTCATTAGCAGTTTTTGGTAGTGGATAGTCTTGAATTATCTTGACGCGTTCCGGTAGCGGTTCAATCCCTTTTGATGAGACAAGATGACCGAGAAAACGTAACTCGCATTTGCCTAATATACATTTGCGTATGTTGACTCGCAATTTGAATTTGCGCAGGCGCGTAAATACGGTGCGCATATGATGCAGATGTTCTTCAACGTCTCTTGATGCAATAATTATGTCATCAATGCACAGAAAACGAAGTTAAGATCTGCCAACGCCATTTGGATCTCTGAAAGGTTTTAGATGCATTCCTTAGACCGAAAGTCATGTACACGAATTCAAATAATCCTAATGGTGTGATGATGGCCGTCTTTGATGGAATCTGATGAAACGCTTTTTCTAAGTCGATTTTCGAAAAAACGTTGTTACCAGCCAGGATATGGGTAAAAACTCGGATGAACGGAATCGGAAAACGATCCGGTACTGTTTTACTGTTTAGGCGACACTTGAGAAGATGTGATTTTGTTAATGTTGCACTTTAAATTGGTCTGGTTGTCGATTAGTTTGTTGTGTTTTACGTCCACCAGTAAATTATAATGTGAAAGAAAATCTACTCCAAGAATCGAAACCTTCACATCAGCAATTACATAAATCCACTCAAAATCTCAGCGCAGACCAAAATCAAGTTGAAGACATTTTTTGCCATACGTTTTGATTGTAGAACCATTAGCAGCAAACAAAGTTCTTGTTTCAGGACTACGAGTATCTTGCAAAAATGTCGGAAGAACTGAAACGTCAGCTCCAGTGTCGGTTAAATATTTTGTGGATGATTTGCGGCCTGAGATGCATAGACGGTTGATATTTACAATTTCGCCATCCGCCCGAAATCGCACTAGTCGTTTTTTGAGGTGGTGTTGAATGTACAGGGTGCGATGCAACGATTTGCCTTATCAGCAAATTTCCTGTGATACCAACATTTGCCTGGTTCTGCATTAGCTTCAGCTAAAGCACGAGAGCGTGAACGCGAACGAGAATGATTTGTATTTATTTTAAGCGATATGCTTTTAATTTGTTCACTTAGCTTTGCGAAAGTCTTTTCAATAATATTAATTCCTCCCTCCAGCGTACTTGGACTCGTGTCGCATGACGAAACAGCTGAAATGCGATTGGAAAAATCGGCAACTTCCATGATCTTGTCAACCATTCTAGCCAACCCGGTAAGATCTGCATCGCTCGTTGAAAGAATAGCGCTTACATTAGATGGTAAGCAGCATGACCATAGTGTGCGTAGAAAATCATCTGTGACTTTGTTGTCAGCCAATATCCTCATTTCGTTTAGTAATTCCGAAGGCTTCCTGTCTCCTAGCTCGACTTCTGCTAATAACTTGCTGGATTTCTTTTGCTGTGAATCCGCAGCCAGAATTGCTGCTTTTAACGCAGAGTATTTATCAGTCGCTGGTGGTGCTACTACCACATCACTTACCCGTGCAAGAATTTTGCCATCGATATTCCCAATGACATGGTTGAATTTAGTGTCATCAATCGTGATACCAGCAACGATGAATTGCGCCTCCACCTGAGCGAACCATATTTCAGGATTCGCATTCCAAAAGGGTGGAAGTTTCGCTGATACTCTGATCAAATTCACGTTACCCACTTCTTTCTCGCCTTCGGTGCTCGGCATGGAGATTTGGTTTCAATGCGTGGATATTTTAGAAAAAAGTTTCTACACTTCCACGTATCTACTGTTTATATACCGCAATAAGTTGTATGTGCTATGTAGTACGACTGTTCGTTTGGAGGACCGAATTTCACGTTAAAATGCTTTACGCGACGGTATTTTAGCACGAAAAGGTATTTCAAATGCACAGCGAATTCTTTTTTTCTAATGAGGGATCACCAATATGGCGGGTGCCATCAATAGCTTAAGTAAAGAAAAACTACACGGTTTGTGTTCTAGAAAAAAGGTCCGTTCTATTTGAATACTCTTAGATAATGCTATTTTACATCTCTATGTACATATTTACAAGGAGCTGCTAACCTGCAGCGGTGATACTTTTCACACATCACTTTTTACACTTCTCTATGAAAAGATTTTGTGTTGAACTTTTAGTATTATGGGGTGTTCACACTTTAGCGTAAAGGTGTGTTCACACTAGTCCCACACATTGAATATTTAGTACCAATCAAAATAGTGATTTTGTTATTTTAAAGCTGAAAGCGAGAATAATAAAAAATGAAAACGGAATTAAAAACGTTATTTCAATTTTCTAATATTAAATATCTACCTTTAAAGGGTATGAAGGAAAATACTATATATGAAATAAATAATATAGAACGATTGGAAACAAAGTATGGAGAGAGTATAAAATGTCAAGTGAATCAGGAATATAATATTTACTTACCAAGGAGATTTCAAATTATAACTAAGAATCAGATGGACTACTTTAATAGATGTCCTCATATTATAACGAAAGCTAAGAACATATATGGACGCCTAAACCTTAAAAATAAGAGCAAGGAAAATAATAGTTGTTATAATAGGTATGAGATTTCGATGATGATGATGATCATGACAAAAAAAAATAAAATTTAGTTTGAAGAAAATCACTTTTTTCTCTATATTTATTGAAGCAAAACAAAGTATTTAATATATATTTATACGTACCTTGATATATAAATTGTTTGGGACAAATTATATGATTGCTGGTGCGAACTCGCAACAAGGTTGAGAAACCACAGGAAGAAAGTAAGAAAACAATTGTATTAGTAATAATAAGAAATATGCACGTATATTTGTTCTTAGATTCAAGATTACAATCTAAGTATATAGTTAGGTAACTATTTGCTTGTAGGAAAGCGTATTATGATAGGCGAATGTTTACCTTTTTGAACGATGACTCCGGTTTGCTGACTGCTGTCTGACGAGAATAAGACACCAGTTTGAACGGAATCGGCCTTAAACACTAGCCAAGTTCGAATGAAAGCCACCGGTAGCAGTGCAGGAAAACTGCCAGTGGTTCCCAAACATTGAAGACTTATGGCTTCAACATTGCCGCCAGCCTTGCAATGCTAAGGGAATGCAAAAAAGTAAAGATGAAGAAAGGTTAAATTCAAATAGTAAAGACATATAATTCAAAGTATTTTCATATTACAAGATAAACTTAACTTCTAAGGAGTTCAGTTGTGCGTGCAAACAAAATTCTTGAGCTTCATATTTGTTTTGTAAGTATATATATCTAAATATATTTTGGTTGTGTAGGTGCAAATTCTACTTCAAATACCTACATTCACATGAATCCTGAGCAATAAAATAGGTGTATTTATGTATTAAAAACGTAGCCCATAAGGGGGCGTGTGCCTTAAAGGGCATAAGGGCCTGAAAGGACTCATCCGAATATTGTATTCTGGGCTGTAGGGAATAGGGATGGGTAAATTCGATATTCGAAGCTTCGATATTCGAATTTTAATCGAATTTTAGCTCCAAAATGGCGAATTTTTGAAATCGAACTTTGTGTTGCTAAAATTCGGATAAAATCGAATTTTTCCAGAAAAATTCGAATTTCATCTTTATTTCAAAAAAATCATTTTTTCACCTTTCATCTTTCTGACTAAATTTTCCATCACTGTGTGCGGCACTTCATTTGTCTTAGAGATTCAAGTGCAAGATTACATGTTTTTCGATCTGTTATTCCAAATTCAATTTCAAAAATTTTTGTATAAAAAACTAGTTTATTCGTTGATTTTTTCATTTATAATTTTTAGATGGTTTTACGTTGATAGCATGAAGCTTTTGCCTGAGAAGACCCCTATTAAAATTTTCCGGAGAATAATTTTTTGAAATATATCAATCCATTAACGATCTGCCAAATTTGCTTTTTGCGAGATTTCTTGAAGTAAGTGTCAAAAATGACTGTTTTAGGCGGTAGCTAATGGGTAAAAATGTTCTACGAAAACATTTCCCTAGAAATTTTAATATATATGGTTCAACCTTCTATTTTTTCGACTTTTTTGAAAACTGAGATATGAAAACTTTAGTAGGCCATAAAATAAAAATACGAGCTAACTTTTCCATCGAGCGTTTTACTACTTAATGGGTATACATTCAGAAAATGTTAACATAGTATTTTAAGTACAACACTTCTTTAACTAAATTCGACTTCTCAAACAGGCGGCAACCCGCCTAAATGTAATTAAAAAATAAAGTTTATTCAAAACCATTTCGATTGATACCCATATTGAAGTAATCTATTTAACTTATTAAATAATATGATTTTGATTTTCTTACATATGGGTGTTTCCATACAGCCGTACGCGACATTCGTACGCTTATAGAGTGACGTAAATCTATCAAAAATATAAGTTACTAAAAAAAAAAGATTACGGTTATGTTGCAACCAAAGGGTACTATGTTTGAGAAAAAAATAAGCAGCCTCGAAACTTTGGTGTGGAAAATATCCGTTCAAAACCAGGTGATAACGTACGCGACAAAAAAAGAAGTGGTTTTAAGGCACATATACATATATGCGAAAGTCTGCGAATCATGAGTAACACATACTGAATTAAATTTTTTCAGTTCTTCTCTCCACCGTTTCGCGTTTCCAAAACCTTGTTCCCCCATCTGAATACGAAATTTTAAGTTATAAAGCCGTTTGAATTCATTTGCTTGCATTTTCAGTTTACATTTTCATGGAAACACGCATATATACGAAAGTCTGCGAATCATGGGAGTTTTCCTTTTCTTTAAAAATGCCTAAACTAAGCTAAATAATGTACCTTTACAATCCTTTCATATTTTAAGAGAAATTATATCTGGCTAGTTTTATTTAAAAAAAAAGACAATAACGTACGCGACATAACGTACGCGACATAACGTACGCGACAATTTTTCTCGTAAGTAATAAATTGTATTTATTGAGAACTCTTCTCGCTACCATTTCATTATTTTACAACTATTCTAAATTTAAATGGAAAATTTGCAATTAACATTGGTTTTGATGTATTTGATTGAATTTTTCGTACCTACAATAACGTATGCGACAAACTTTAAAGGGTAATACATTTTTTTATACTTCGGTTGGAAAGAAAATTTTACTGCATATCTTTAGCTGGAAGAATTCTCGCTTAAGAATTGTAATCTGCATTACCTGCGACTGCCAATATACAAATGACAGACATACAATGTTTTTGCATAACGTACGTGACATTAGAATACTAACAGAAGCAAATCAAAAAATTACCGTTATTCGAGCTCTAATTTCTCCTTTTTCTAATTTTTATAGTAAGTTGTTATTGCAAATTTCATTCTAAGATGTAATTGTAATGTTTCAAATCTCTTAATTTAGTTAATAGAAAAGAGAAATTAGTTCATTTCATTAGAGAAAACTGAGTCGAAGAGATATTCAGTTTTACTCTTCCATTTTTGAGTTTTAAAATTCCTATAAGCTGAAATACTTCTATAATATAAAAATTCGAGTATTTTTCTCTTATTAATTCATCTTAAAAACCCTTTTCAGTTGTTTTTATTTTTTCAGTCCTGGTTGACATTTTCATGGAAACACCCATATGGCACAAAACTAAAACCATGTTACACATCTACAGGGCAAGCCCATTCATTTGACACCTACCCCCTTTTTAAAAATAAGACGAACGATACAGATTTTATGACTTGATGTTAAATATTTAACGCAAACATCTGCGGAAGCGATAATTTGAAATTGATTTCCTAACCTGTGGTAACCAATTTCATAGAACTAAAACTATGGTGCAGCCTCAAAAGAGAAGCCTTTAATTCGACTCCTAATTTTTTTTAAATTGAACGATACAGATTTTATGACTTGGTGTTAAATATTTAACGCAAACATCTCCGAACTCTATTAAGAAGTTCCACTTCGAAAATATTTTTCAAAATTCGAATGAAATCGAATTTGCCCCACCGAATTTCGAATCGAATAATCGAATGGTTGGGCAATGTTCGAAATTCGGAAAAAAATCGAATTTCAACCCCCCACTACCCATCCCTAGTAGGGAACCCGGAGTAAGAAATAACCTCATTCCTCATTATTTTGTGGTAGATCTCTCCTCCAAACACTAAAGCGACCGCTGCAGACGTATGGAAATTTGGATCGGCTAGTTTCAGATTGGTGAGCTTTTCAACCACGAGCGCATTCAAGTGAGGTGCTGGAGTCCTCAGCGAATGCTAGCGTCGTTTGACGAGCTAATCAAGAGCTCACACATATCCACATTTGCACCAGGCAACGTGGGTACGTGCAGCCTCTTGATCAGCGACCGGCATACCTTACTTGTCTGGGAACAAGGGTCGAGCAGAGCACGGGTAAGGAATCTTTGTTGATTTATGTGCACAGATACTGCGCACGTTGGTAAAACGGTGATCATGCCCGATAGTTGTGTTAAAAGGGACGCAGGTTGTTGACGGGGGCCAAGGCGAGGATTGAAATGCAACAGCGTATGATGTTGCTCATGACCAGGGAACGGATTTTTAGGACCTAAAAACCTATGCAAAAGGCAAAACAAAATAACAAAATAGGCTGGAAAAGGCAAAATAAAATAGCGAAAAAGGCAAGAAAAGGCACTAGGTATTGCAAAAAAGGCAAAACAAAATAGCGAAAAAGGCAGGAAAAGGCACTAGGTATTGCCCAAAAAGCAAAATCAGGCACTAAAAAA